GCGCGGCGTGGAGCAACCTGGTCTAGTGGAAGGTGTCCCTGCCCATGGCAGGGGCTTGGAACTAGATGGTCTTTAAGGTCCCTTCAAGGTCCCTTCCAACCCAAACCATTCTATGATTTGAGGGAGGAGGTTCTCTTGGGGATACACAGGCACGTCAGATCCCTGCGGTTGGTGTCCTCAAACCTCTTGTGAGGGCTCCAGTCCCCCTTGTAAGCGTCTCCAGTGCCATTGAGGGGGATACAGATGGGCAACAATCACTCTTGTTGCAGGCCCCAATTCTCTTGTGGGGGGCTGTGATCGCCTTAGGGGGTATGTGGCCTCATAACCTTGTAGGGTTCCCCACATCCCTTGTGGGATACACGGCTGGCCCAGATTCCCATGTGTCTCCAGTCTCCTTGCAGAGGTTGTGATCCCATCTGTGGAGTGCAATCCTCCTAGGAACCATGCTGGCCTCACTTGCTGGGAGTGCAGGGAATCCCAACTCCCTTTAGGGGAGCATTGGAGAGGGCCCTTATTCTTCTTTGGGTGTCCCCAGACCTTTTGTATGGCCTGTGGTCCTCTTGGGGGCAAATTGGCGGGACTTGGAGGACCCCCAGTTGCTGGGGGTGGGATGATCCCTTCGGGATCTCCCATGGTAGAAGCCCTCATGTGCTCTGGAGAAAGCATGTTGACTCTCGTCCATCTTTAGGGACTTTCAATTCCCTGCAGAGTGATTGATCAACCCAGGGTGAGAGGGAGCACAGGGTGGCACCAGACCCCTTGGAGAGGTTATTCCCTCATACACACCTTGAGGGGTCAGCTGGGCTAAGAATTTGGTTGCTCCCATCCGCCTCAGAGGGGAGTTGAGGGTAGCCATGATTTCCCTTGGGTACAGGGTTCATGTGGCAACATGCCCAAGGGGATGCATATCTGGAGCACTGTGAGGTCTCTTTTCATGGAATTACAGAATCTTAATATCATAGAATGATTTGGGTTGGAAAGGACCTTTAGCAGCCATCTACACCAACCCCCCTGCAATGAACAGGGACATCTTCAACTTGATCAGATTGCTCAGAGCCCCATCCTTGAATGTTTCCAGGGATGGGGCATCTAGCACTTTCTGGGCAACCTGTTCCAGTGTTTCACGAGCCTCATGATAAAAAATGGCTTCCTTAGATTTAGTTTAAGTCTACCCTCTTTCAGTTTCAAACCATTGCCCCTTGTCCTATTGCTACAGGCCCTGCTAAAAAGTCTGTTCCCATCTTTCTGATAAGCCCCCTTTAAATACTGAAAGGCCACAATAAGGTCTTTCCAAAGCCTTCTCTTTTCAACCCCAACCCTCTCAGCCTTTCCTCACTGGACAGGCATTCCATCCCTCTGATCATTTTTCTGGCCTTCCTCTGGACTCACTCCAGCAGGTCCATGTCTTTCCTGTGCTGAGGACTCCTGATTCTGGCTCGGTTTATTCCCTTCTTCTCCTGTTAGGAAGAGATGCTTTTTCTGAAGCTCCCCTCTCTTTTCACATGTCTGTTTGCTTGGACCCAGATGCCTGTGTCCTTTCTGATTTCCACCAGAGTTGTGCTCCAAAAGTACTTCCACTTGGGCTTAACTGTGCTTTTAGTTTTCCATGAATAGCCTCTTAATGTGCCTTAGAGAAGTAAAGCATCCTGTGTTTAACTGTCTCGTTCTTCAGCTGTTTCTGCCTCCCTCCCTCTTTCACCCAAGAATCTCAAATCCTGTTCTCTTCCCAGTGACTACAAGCAAAAAGGCTTCACTGTGTTGTAACCAGATCTTTTTGTGAGGAGGGGTGGGTCTCCCAGGGAATAAAATTTGCTGTAGATTTAATCATATTACGATGAAAGAGCATTATATTGGACAAAACCAGGATACAGCCAAACATCCTATCTTTGGGTGCTTTTTGGGGGTTCTGGTGACTTCAGCCTTCTGCCGAGGTGGCCAAACTATCTCAGTCCATATAGCTTGAGCACTGGCAGGATACCATCCCCTCCTTACACCATTTGGCATTGGTGCTGGTCAAGTAGGGAGCCAGCAGATATTTCCAGTGCTCTCGAACAAGCCCCTGGGTGGATCTGGGTGGTGCCATGCCTGTCCCATTCCACTGGGGATGAAGAGGACTGCTGGAATGTCCAGTCATGTAACCTCTTTCACAGTTTGTCTTAGGGCTCTCTGCCTTGGGAAGGGTTTTCTTTCTGGCTTGCCTGGTTAGCAGGAACAACAATGCCGTGTAGGCTATGGCAGAGTTAAGGTGTTTTCTTTGGAGCCTTCAAGAAATTTCACTTATAAAATGTTATTTTTAATACTCTTCAGCTATGTGAGTGTTACAAATCAAGACACAGACAAACAAAGTATCTGTTTTTATTTTATAGAATGGCTTCAAATGTCATTGCATGTCTGAGTCCCATCAGAGGCAATTGCTGCTGGCTTCTGAAAATCCTCAGCAATTCATGGATTACTTTTCTGAGTAAGTTTGCCACATATTCCGACCCAGGTCCTCATTGATGTAGCACATTTGCACAACCCTACAATCGTGTCCCTTTGGAACACTTTATTCCGATACATTTCAGTTTCAGCTCTTCTTTTTAATGGCAGTTGGAAAATTGAGGTGATGCCGCTTTTGAACACGTGTAAGAGATTCCAGGGAGCCATGATTAATCAAATTTGGCAGTTCTGTCCTGTGTCTAAGTCCCATTTTAAGTTGCTCTGTGTTACAGAGTATGTCACTGTTGCCCTAGCTAAGTGACTGCCACACGTGCAGTTACAAAGAGCTAAAAAGGAGCATTACAGAGAGATAATGAGTCAGGGGTGTGACTAATGTCCCACGGTTTCCCCCAGTCCTTTGTCCAGCTGACCTCCGGGACAGCTGGGTTGACTGGAGCTGTCTGCAGCATGAGTCTGAAGTGAGGCTTCTCCAGCCCTGGAGTGAGCAGTGAGATGAGTGATCAGTCGACCCCATCTCCCACTGCTGCCCTTTGTCGTGCCGTGTGTTTTGTGTCAGCCAGCCTGGGAAGATGTCTGGTAATGAAATACCAGCAATTAGCGGGGAGTGTTTAGATTTCGTTCTTTCCATTTTATCCCTTTGAAAGGGTATTATCCTTTTGAAGATGTAATTTGTACGTGCAGGTACCATATTGTGTTTCTTTGTGCATGGATATTGCTTTTAATGATACTTTACTGAAAAAGGGAAATGAGTGTCTCAATTCCATTATGTTCAGTTAAAAAAAAATACTCATTTTTACAATGCAGATACTCAATTGTTAATGACAATAGAAAATTGCTTTGTAATCGTTAAAGTTTTACTAAAATGCTTTCTTTTTATTCCCTGAGGGAGTTCCGAAATGATTTCCTGGAACTGCTCAGGAGGCGATTTGGTAAATATTTTACTGTTTGTTTGCTTGCTTTGTTTGTCTGTCTTTCGTGTCTTTTATTAGTTCAGTGCAAGAAGCTTTTGGTTGCTTTCTCCTAGGCTCCATATTCATATTTAATAATAATAATTCTGTATTTCAGGAACAAAGAGAGTCCACAATAATATTGTGTACAATGAATACATCAGTCATCGAGAACACATCCACATGAATGCCACGCAGTGGGAGACACTGACTGATTTTACTAAATGGCTGGGGAGAGAAGGTAAATGGAGTTGCTCTGGGTTAGGAAGTTTTAAAATTATTGGGTAATTGCATGGCTGATAAGTGATCAGTAAACACGTATGTTAGTTCTCCCGCTTCCTATTTTCTTCCCCTCTCCTCCTGTATATACATTAACAGGTGACCAAACTGTGCTAACCATTAGGAGTTTGCATATGAAAAATGACAAATGTCGGGGATAATGACATCAGTTCAGAACCTTTCCTTGTTTCATCTGTGGGTCTGTATTTACTGGAGGTATTGCTAAATGAACTTCCAGCAGCTGCCATTTATAAAGTAGAAACTGTGAGAACACGGCTTGTGGCTGCAGAATCCTTCCATAGCACAAGAAGCGAGCAGTTGTTTTCATTCCTGGACTAGTGAACGGGTTAAAGCTTGAGATCTGCAGTTTTGTGTTCAGTGAGAGGAAGATTAAATGGCACTGTGGTATGGCGGAGAGTTTACTTTGGCTCTGATTGCCTGTGTCCTGCAGGATATGTTCATGAGTCACATGGTGTTTGAAAAGCCACTCCAGCGACAGTTAGTAACAATAGTGTAGCACAGTAAAGTTTCCTTTAGTATGATGCTATTAGCATGTATTGTTTATATATGTTAGATTTCTGTTTTCTTCCTTGTTAAAACAGTGGGAAGGAAACCATTTTCTTCAGGAAACCATTTTGGGCTGGAAGGGAAGTATTATAAAATGCTCCACTTTATTATGGACTCTGGCCTATTTCTAAATAGAACCAAGTCAAGAAGCTAGAACCAAATAGAAGCTAGTCAAGGGGCAGAAACAGGTACTAAAGGCAATTCAAAGTCAGTTTGACCAGGCCAGTAAGGGATACGTTGTCCCTGGTAAAGTATCTGCATTGTTACAGTGAACATGGACAGTGGAAATGGTCATAGAATCACAGAATGGTTTGGGCTGGAAGGGCCCTTAAAGATCATCCAGTTCCAACCCCCCTGCCATGGGCAGGGACACCTTCCACTAGACCAGGTTGCTCAAAGCCTCACCCAGCCTGGCCTTGAAGACATCCAGGGATGGGGCATCCACAGCTTCTCTGGGCAACCTGTTCCAGTGCCTCACCACTCTCTCCGGGAAGAACTCCTTCCTGATACCCAGTCTAAATATCCCTGCTTTCTGTTTAAACCGGTTACCCATTACCCCTTGTCCTGTCACTACAGGCCCTTGTAAAAAGTCCCCCCACCCCTGCCCCAGCTTTCTTTTAGGCGCATGATCCTGCTATTTTATTTGTCCCTTGTTTGCTTTTGTGAGAATTAATCTTACTTTGTCTTGCATTGACTTTTTAGGCCTTTGCAAGGTTGATGAGACTCCAAAAGGCTGGTATATTCAATATATTGATAGGGACCCAGAGACTATTCGCAGGCAACAAGAACAAGAGAGGAAGAAGAAGCAGGACCTTGATGATGAAGAAAAAACTGCTAAATTCATTGAACAACAAGTTAGAAGAGGTTTGGAAGGGAAAGAACTGGTAAGGAAAATTGCACTGTATGTCAGCCTTCAGCTCAAAACCCCTCTTGGTGAAGTTAATGGTGAATTCGATGCTGCTGGGATCCTTGCACTGGTATTTGCAGTCACATGAGTAAGATTCGTGCTTCAGGTTACAAGCTCATCACCAATTTGAACTGAGGAACAGTGGTCATATTGGGCTGCATTGCTGTTCTTTTCTAAGCCACAGGGAATAGTCTTATCCCAGATACTCCTGATAGCAGCCTGGACTAATTTGTTTCTGTTAAAACCGCAATTTGTTAAATTTCCTTAACCAGCTTGCTGGTGGTTTTTACAGCTGATGAACATCAAGGTCCTCTATGGAATCACAGTTTCAAAAAATAAATCCATAAAAGAAAGCAGAGGTTTTAGCTCCTTTTAGAGTTGATGTGATTTTGAAATCCACTAGAACTGTGTCCTGTGGCTGTAGTGTCTGATCTGGCCATTTCAGACTTTGGTTTAGACTGTCGTCTTCCATACTTGAATCATCACGATTCACTTCTGTTCTGAATTTTCTGCTCTACAGTTACCTTGGATTATAACCTGCTCTGGAGCAAAACTTTGTACCTGGCTTGGTTTAGTACTAGAGGAGTAATAATTACTACTTTTCAAGTGGTCAGTGATTAAAAAATCACTCTTGAATTTAGGAAGGGAGGGTAAACAATGCAGTGACCAGCATGATGTGTCTTCATCTATACTATTTCACAACTTTTAGGGCTGCAGATAACAAGTACCTTGTACAGTGGGGTGGCTGAGGTAAATAACCGGGGTGGCGGGTGACATAATCAAATCCACGTAGTGGGAAGTTTTATTTTGATAGTGCAGAGTGGTATTTGGGATTTATTTATTTGGTGTCATTCCATGACTTCCATACACATTGTTGCATGGGACTGGAACCTCCCATTTGATGCTGGGTATTGGTAGGTATGTTGAAATGTAATTGTAAACAATCACTTTTTCTTAATTTAAAGCTAATTGAAATTTAAATGGTCTGAGCCTTTGGTGCTGAAAATTTGGAAAGATTCCAGAATTTCCTTTTTTGAGTTATCAGTCTGTCCAGAAACCGGTCTAAACATGCTGGTTCAAATAGGGAAAACTGCTACAGTAAGGCTGTTTTCCTTTCCTGCTGGAGTCGAGCAAGTTTAGACACCATCTCTGTAGAGAGTGTGAATTAGAGAATTTTGCACAGCAGCCTGTAATGAGATAATGTTTTCATTCTATGATCTGTGAATCAGGCCAGGTTAAACATTACAGTCACTCCTCATGATCTTGGAGTAGTCTGTAAGACTGAGCTGATCAGTGATCACCAGAAAGATGTTGTCTTCCCTCAGTTTTCTGTGTGACTCTTGAAACATGTTCTTTTTTTTTTGGCAGGAAAAGCCAGTCTATACTGAACTGAACAGAGAAAATGAAGAAGAAAAAGGTAACCAGATTTTGATACACGTAGTTTTCTAGTACCTGCTGAATCTGATTCTGTGATTAAAATGAGATGAGCACTGAGACCTGCTCAGTGCTTCAGAAAACACTTTGAGATCAGTTACAAAGGGCAATGGAATATGGAAACACAGAGTATTCTTTCTTATAGAGGTTACTGTAATTTCTTTTAAGAGCTGCAACAAAACATAGATTAATAAATAATTTCCAATTTATAATCTTTTCTATTTGCAGATTTTTTAAATTGTGACATCCTTCAATGCAGTTATCTTTAAAGATAGAAATAGAGTAATGTCTTTTTATTTTTTAGTTACATTTAATTTAAACAAAGGAGCAAGTACTTCAATAGCAGCATCTTCTAAAACAAGGTGAGAAAAGAATTTAAGGGCAACCCTTACTGTTGCAAAGCACTTGTGTGACAATGGTATTTGTATGGGCAGGAAGATGTGTCGGGTCCTGAAATATCTGGAGTCTGGTATCTCATTCTGTCGTGTTATTCAGGAGGGGATACTAGATGACTCCGTGGTTCCTTTTTGTCTTTAAAATGGATGAATGGATGTAACTTAAGTGTGTGCTGTGAGGAGCCTTCTTGAATTCCCTGTGGTTCGTGGCAGATGCCTGTGAAGTAATAGACAGTTACAGGTTCCTCGAAGACAATACTGTGACGTGAAAGGGAGGATGAGGGATCCAGTCAAACCATTTGAGATGAACACCATCTCGTCCCAGCTGCCTTCTGTGGATGTGTATTCCTGACTTGTTCATTTTTGTTCCTAAAAGGTTTGATTGCCTTCTCTAATTGGTGGCAATACTTTCTCTGATCATCATTTAAGAAGCTGAATGTACCTGATGTGAATCCTTCTAAAGCTCATGAATTTAATTGTCATCATACAGCCACGGGCAACGCAGGACAAAAGGGATCAATAATGCAAACGATACCGACTTAGAGCAGTCTGTGAAACTGTTTGATGAGCAGTGCATCTTTTCATGTGAGGCAATATTGTAATTAAATGTGTTGCAGGTAAAACGAAAGCTTTCCTTTCATCACAGGCTCAGCTGTCAGATAAGGTATCTGATGGGAGAGACGCCAGGCAGAAAATGAGACAATAAAGTAGTTCTTTGCAATAATAGATACAGATTTCAGGCTTTGAGGAAAACTTGTAAATTAACCCTAAGCACTGAGTTGTGCTTAAGATGAGGCTGGAACTTAATTCAGTCACTCAATTGAATAGTTTCAATGAGGAATACTTAAGGTGCTGGCTAAAATGTGGCCGAATGTGAAGTAGTATATCAAATGGTCTAATTGTTTCATAGCATATGAGAGATACTTGTCTGTAAACTTTGTAATGGTAGTGTAGAAGCAAAATTAGGATACCCACTTCATGGTAAAGTGGTTTATATTTCACTGGTGATACCAGAATCACTTCGGAGACATATGTGGAAACTGCTTCCCTGTGTCAGTGTAACGGTGTGTTCTGCAGCGGTTGGCTGTTACTGGGAAGCAATTGAGTTCAACCTGATGTCCAGTGCCCCAGCGCTGCATGCAGTGAGGCTTCCTGTCTTCCCATCATCTGTGCTGACAGCACAAGCTGCGGAAACATGGCACTCGCATGTTCTGAGCAGGATGGAGAAGTAGGACCAGGAGATCATAGGTAGTGGATGGTAGAGTTTTGAGGGCATGGGGATACTGGTAATTGGGTGCAGAGATGGAGTTAGAGCCTTGCTGAGAAGTGAGAGGGGAGGTGTGCCTTCCTGTGGATGTCTGAGTGGCTGACATGAGAGAGTCCAGAGGAGGCCATGAAGATGCTCAGAGGGCTGGAGCCACCTCTGCTATGGGGACAGGCTGAGAGAGTTGGGCTTGTTCAGCCTGGAGAAGAGGAGGCTCCAGGGAGACCTTATTGCAGCTTTCCAGTACCTGAAGGGGCTACAAGGAAGCTGGGGGGGACTTTTTACAAGGGTAAAAAAGTAGTGACAGGACAAGGGGTAACGGGTTTAAATTGAAAGTGGGGAGGGTTAGATTAGATATCAGGAAGAAGTTCTTCACGGGGAGGGTGGTGAGACACTAGAACAGGTTGCCCAGAGAAGCTGTGGATGCCCCATCCCTGGAAGTGTCTAAGGCCAGGCTGGATGAGCAACCTGGTCTAGTGGAAGGTGTCCCTGCCCATGGCAGGGGGGTTGGAACTAGATGATCTTTAAGGTCCCTTCCAACCCAGACCACTCTGTGATTCTATGAAGCTTCAGGCACAGCTGATGCTGACTGCCCTTGAGCAAACTGGGAGCCCTGGGGTTATATTTTTCCCTCAAGAATTTACATCCTTAAATCCCTGCTTACCTCACTCAATGGATAAGTAAGATTAGAATTACTTCTAATTAAGGAATGAGCAGAAGCTGCTACCAAGGTCATTGAGTCCTGTCTGCAGCACTGCAAGTGTACCCGTGCACAGTCCTGTCTGCACACTGGTCACTCTCCAGTGCACACAGTTAGGGTCTCCCCAGCCCTGTAATCCCAAGAGAGGATCCTTGGGATTACCAAGAGCAAAACCTGTTTGCTCTGATGGTTAGGACCTTGTGGCAGTCTCCCAGGTGAATGTAGTTGTGGCCAGTTTATACCAGTTGCTCTCATGTTGGTATGGGTGTTTAACGTAAATAGTTGGTTTTCTTCCTGGCGTTCGCTTTGTCAGGCAACAGATCAGTAGAGAACAGTTTTAGCCTCTCAGCTTTTTTGTGCTGTGCAAGCAGACCTGCACGGTTCTGGCCTCCTCTCCCCATTCCCTTCAGCTGCTGAATATCCCTTCCATGTCCTTGTTCTGGTTTCAGCTGATCTTGAGCAGGGGAGCTGTTGGAATTTGTGCATGCTGGAAATGGAATGTTGCCGTGGCCTATCCAAGGCACTAATGCTTGTCTGTCTTGATGCTTCCTAGGATTGCATTTGACTCTTTCATGACTGGTCCACACTGGTAACTGTCATCTGTGATTATAGCCAGACCCCTTTCTGCTTTTGTTGTTCTTAAACAGCTCCCAGTAGATAGAAGGTAATCAGAGTAAATTTTTCCAAAGTATGTGACGTTGCATAACGTGCTGTTGAATTTTGTGTTTTCTAAAACATGTTTTTAAAGATAAAACCACTCCCTTCTGGTGTCCAATTCTTTCCTGTATCCTCCATACTGATGACACACCAGAACAATGTTGGTGGTTTCTCACTCTTTGTCCCAGGGTCCTTAATGAATATGTTAAATAAGGTTTGTTTTAGTAGTGACACCCAGGAATCCCTTAGTAACCTCACACTAGATACATTTTCCTTCTGAAATACTGGCACTGCAGTTGTTAGGTTTTAATTGTGTGTTACCCTTACTGAGATGTTATTTTAAGTACTTGCAATTTGATTTGTGATTTTAATGTGCTATTTGTTCTAGAACTCTGCGAAGGAGATTATCCAGACTTCCTCTGAAATACAGTTTTTCTCTCAATTTTGCTTCTGCTGCCATTTCTGTCTCCATTCCCATTACCTGTCTTCCCTTTGCAAGTGTATCCAACACCCTCGCCATGGGTAGAGATGTGATTTGCCCTAAGGCTGTTAGGGCATATTCCCTTACTGTTCACCTCACAGCAGCCGTAGGCAGAATCTTCATCTTTCTGGATGAGAGAACACCTAAATTGTTTTTACTGCATTCAAATGTCTTTTATAAAATTACTTCACTCAACCTGCCTTTTGGCAGTTCTCCCTTTACCTAGATGTTCCCCAATCCCCCAGATGTGCTGATGGCTTTTTTTCCTTCATAACTCATAGGCCATTTGCCTATTTTGAATGTGATTGTGAAGATGGTGTTTATTTGCTGGGTGTGGAGCCCTTTGTACAGATTCCCACGGGTATTCTCCCATTGCCAGATAGGTTATGTATCAGCTTGGCAGGAGTTTGAGAGTTCTGCCATGTTTGGGAGTTGCTGTCCAGGTGGCTTCTCTAAAGCCAAAGGTTTGTTCTTTTGAATTTGAAAACCTTATTTGCAGACCTGCCTTTGTCTCCTCCACTGAACTCAAGTTCCCGCTCAACTCTTTGCTTTTGCTCTGGTGAGCTGCTCCTTAGGTTGTTTTCACTCTGCCCCACTGCGGGCAGCAAACGTCGGTGGACGTGGAGTTTACACCTCAAGGAGATCGGCTCTAGCTGCCAAATGCAGTCCTAGAGAAGGAGGCATGTGGGGTCTGGAAGGTGACTTGCACAGCTGAAATTAAATAGGTCAGCACGGCCTTTTTGCACAACCAGTTCTTCAGACGGATCTTGGTAGAGGAAAGAGGGTAAGGTCTGCTGTGAAAACACCATCTCACTCTTCCAGCAGTGCCCTTGGACCGAATGCTCTGAAGATGGTGGAAGGGACAGTTAAAAGAAAAGAATCAGCTCATAGCTCTGGTCAGTCCAAAGAGAAAAAGAAGAAATCTGCACTGGATGAGATTATGGAGGTAATAATCGTGCAGGATCTGTGTCTTTGTAACCCCGTGCCTATGGCAATGCCCACTGTACCCGGGCATGTCCCTTTGAAGTGACCTCAGACCTTCAATTCATGTGGAATTCAGACTTTCATATTTTATCAGGCAAAATGATTTCACTTCCCCATTAAAACAGGTTTCTGCTGCTCATCTGTGCCTATTCCCAAACGACTGAGATGCTGGAAGTAAAGGAATACAGATTTTGGAAGAGAAGAAAATACCTAGAAAACACTTGAGAAAAAAAAACCCAAATATAGATCTCCATCATTTTACCATGGATTCCTGGATCTCATCAGATTGATTTTTATGCAGCAAGCACACACTGATTTACCCTTGTTTAGGGTCGGGGTTGTTTTGGGTTTTTTTTATTCCCCACTTGATATGGGCCTGGAGAATTGGTTCAGCTTTTCAAAGGCATGGGAAAGCTGCAGTGAAAGGCAGAAGTAAACGGTGATTATTTGTTCTTCTGCAGCTGGAAGAGGAGAAGAAAAGAACATCTCGAAGAGACTACTGGTTGCAGCCTGTAAGTGTGTTAAAAAATATTATAATACCAAATACAACCAATTCTGCATCTCTGAAGCTGCTCTTGATTTGCGTAGAGATTGAAAAGCAGATTCCAGACTAAATTCACTCTTGTTTTCCAAACTGCCACATGGGAAATACTACGGTATGTGAGAGGAATTACTCCTCTGGTTGAGCATGATCTACAGGCTGAAGCATTGTACACCTGGTCTCAGGTGGGGTGGAATTCTCTAATTAGATTGGGTCTGTGAGTCTCTACAGATCCTTTTTAAGTCATTATATTACTTGCAGTCCTCTTCTTTCTACGTAGTAGTTGACTCGCACAGAGATGTAGAAATCTTTGAGCTGAGAGACCTCATCTAGGCTTCTACTTTTTGGCTGGACTTCTAAATCAAGGGGTAACGGGTTTAAATTGAAAGAGGGGAGATTGAGATTGGACGTTAGGAAGAAATTCCTCACGGAGAGGGTGGGGAGGCACTGGGACAGGTTGCCCAGAGAAGCTGTGGATGCCCCCTCCCTGGAAGTGTCCAAGGCCAGGCTGGATGAGGTTTGGAGCAACCTGGTCTAGTGGAAGGTGTCCCTGCCCATGGCAGGGGGCTTGGAACTGGATGGTCTTTAAGGTCCCTTCCAACCCAAACCATTCTCTGATATGATTCTGTGATCAGGAAGTTCAGCCCTTGACCTGTTGTGGGCTGTCACATTATATCCTGAATTCAAGTCTAACTGTATTTGTAAAACAAGAAAAAGCCTTGAGAGATGCTACTTTTAGGCAATAATTTCAGGATCAAGACAAATTCCTGAAAGCCAATTCTTTACTGTCATTGCTTCCTGCGCTGTGCTGTACAGTCTGTGGATGGAACCAGAGCGACCTGAATATGCAACTAATTTAGGTCATGTAGTTGGTTGTGTATTTTGACATTGTATTTGTGTTTTCTCTTTTCAAATAATCCAGGAAATCGTTGTAAAAGTCGTAACAAAAAAGCTTGGTGAGAAGTATCACAAGAAGAAGGCCGTTGTTAAGGTAAAGTGTGCAGGTGGAAGCGTGTGGCATTGGTCAGGCTTTTCGGGTGTCAGATGACTTCTGAAATTTTGTTGCATTGTGCAAGTTGTTCAGCCTTAAGTCACCTTAACTGTTTGGGGACTTACTGTGAGCAGGGAGCGAATCTCTGAATTGGTTTAGTGTCACTTACTTAAGCACTGTTTGTCCCTGTAAACACATCCGCCGTGGAGAACAGCCGCGTTGACGATGTGCTGTGGCCAAAAGCAGCTCAGTTGCATTCTATTCCGAGACCAGTCAGATTTAAGCTGCAGCTGCCTTTGCACGTGATCTCATTTGCAGACAAAATCTGCAGGCTGTGAGCCTTGCTCAGGTGTTGGGAAGTGCTTTCGTTGAGCCACTGCGTGTGAAATGATGTTGTCCTAGTTAGTCCAAGGCTCAGCAGTCTCTGGCAGGAGCACCAAAGACAACACCCGGGTGTGTTCTGGATGATCGACCAGGGTGTATAGAGCTCAGAGTCATAGCTTTTTTGATAGCCACCTGGGAGGGTTGATGAGTCCCAGTGGCTGCCTTCCTTTGAGCTCTGAATGTGGGAAGTGGAACGTGGTTTATGCTAGCTGCGACGATGATCTCTAACGTTTTGCCACATCGAGAGGTAGTATCCCAGTTGTCACTCTGTGACATTTTAGCCTTCCATGGGGAAAAGCAGCCTCTGATTTGCTTTCCATCTTTGAGAGCGTAGCTGACCTGGAGGTTGACAAAACGTTCAGACAAGGCTGACAAAATCAGTGGTCAATTAGACCAGTCATTGATGTTCAAGAGGAGCTCTTTAAACCTGGCCGCCCAGGTCAGCAGTTTGTGGAAGCTGCATGCCCTCAGGACATCTCCGAAGTCCTTGCTGCTTTTGAAAACGTTAAAGTGCTGACTCATGGTCTTGAGTTTCTTAATTTTGAAATGTAAATTTAGAGAAAACTTTATTATTTTTCTGATTGGCCTCTGCCTTTCACCACAGGAAGTGATTGACAAATACACAGCAGTTGTGAAGATGATTGACTCTGGAGACAAACTAAAGCTTGATCAGACGCATCTGGAAACTGTAATACCAGCACCAGGTACAGCTGTTTGTTCATTTTTCAGCTTTGCTGTCACTGCAAAACTTACATTTCAGTTCTCTTAAGCTAAAAGGCATCCACTTGTAAGTACCATGACAAGAGCTGGCTTGCTCCTGGGACAGCATTTCGTAAGCTACTCCGATCACTTACCAAATATCCACTGGTTACTTTCTAGGGGATTACCACACTGCTTCTGCTTTGAGTCTTCAGCATCTCTTCTCGTACGAATTAGGTTCCTTTCTGTGAAGACAGAAGTGCTTTAGGATTCAGTTCATTTGATGAGATGAAAGCATCTCTCTTCAGCTGCCAGGAAGCATCGGGGAGCCCTACAGAGCCCTTGGTCATATTTATCCTGTATCTCCCCTCCAAAGTCACGGCTTGAAGAGCTGTGGGTGCATGGCAAAGCTCACCTCATCTCCTGTTCGGTTGACGGGCGTTTCTTTAGCTGGTGCACGCTGATGTTTGTGTGTAGCATCCAACCAGTATTTCAGGGAATGGTCAGGGTAGCAGTAAGCAGAACGCTGCCAGCGTACAGGGAAACAGGATGTAGGATTCGGGGATTCACAGATTCTTCAGCAGACCTGCCCCATTCTGCGTTCCTGCAGCTGGTGAGGAGCTGGTTGATGGTCTTTAGCGTAACGGTGCTTCTGGGTGAGCTCTGCCCACCCTTGCTAGGGGTGATGCCCCGAGGGGACTGCCTGTGTGATGCAGGGGCAACAAAGGAGGTACTCTGAGCCGTTCACACGGGGAATAGGAGAAAGTTTTGGCTGCTGTATTTTCAACAGGCTTCTGCCCACAGTATCATAGAATCATAGAAT